GAAATACCCAGTGAGGAATCCAACAGTTTCAATCTAAGATCTGGCTTTTCACACCAAATCATTAACTTTACTTCATTTTTACCCTTCCAACCCTTAAAATTGGAATTTAAGCATCAACTAGGACATTCCCTTAAACATATCAAAGAACACATGGGCAACAATTTGTATATTACTGTGTAAGGCATATGATATGGCAATCCATGACATTTAAAATTCTACTACCCATATTCTAAACTGTACTGAAATTTACTAAATATTGTTAATGCTAAACTCTTTTTTATGATTGCTCCTTTTATTTTTCCAGCCAGTGTGCTGTTACAAAAATTAAAAAGCAAATTCTAATACTAATTTTAAAATAATCATAATATTAATATTGCACACAAATAAATATAGGGCAGATTACATGAAGACACACATTTTACGTATGACACATATTATAAAATAAATGTTAGCAGCATTAAATTGAATATACTACAAGGAGAGACTATATTCCTCCACAAACTCATTCATTCTACTGGAGTCACAATGTGTTTTAGATATTAAATTCACAAAGAAAGTACTGTCAAAATAAATTTCACTTCTCTTAAAAGCGCAGAAGATTTTGGTTTATGTTTGAAGTTTGAGTCATTTTTTAAAAATTGACAAAAAATCCAATTACATAAGTAGTATACGACTGACAATGTAAGAAAGATGACAAAAGCAGAATTACAAACATATTTGATGGTATGTTATTTCCACAAAATGAAGATTCTTCCCTCTCTTGCAAAGAGATAACGTTTAATTATTATTAAGGCCTCTACAATATATGCATTACACAAATTAGGTTCTTTGAAAATTATGATTTCAAGTTTGCCATTTTGCAATAAATGCATCCATTAACAAAACAAGTTCCAGGAAATTGAGTTGTAAGCTTTGTTAAGTTGAAATTATCACTGTCAGGCTGACAATGGTGAATAAGGCAGCATTTTTAAAAGCAAGAAATTTCCAGTGTACAGATCTTACAAAACTTGTCCTTGAGATTCAATGGAGAAATTGTTTCATGTATGTTAGGAATCAGTAGCTGCAGTTTGACGAAATTTTCAAATGAAAAAAAAAAAAAAAATTCAGCGGTAGCAAAGGCATTATTGCTACTACTGAACTACAGGCTCTAATATGACCAAGCATGCTGAATTTTAAGAAGTTTCCAAGTGTTAGCAAATACCCATATTAACAGTGAAATAGCACAAATGAACAGTGTCTTAATTTATGGTTACTACCAGCATTGTATAGCATTCTAATGAGTGCAGAGGCTTGTATTTTGGCAAATTTATTGTTGCTTTTGAGAGACCTGGGTAGGTAAGTGGCCAAGAGCATTAAAAAATGCCTGAGATCCCATGATTCTATAAAAAAGTTCGAAAGAATGCTGTTACATCACATGGACAAATGAGATAAATACTGCACGAGAAACTGAGATTCATGACATAGCCATACTAAAAATGCCCTACATAATATGTTCAATCTGCATACTTACATACTGCAGTCTTCTCAAGAGGTGCTGTAAAAATCATTATGCTAAAAAAAACACATTCACAACTTAGACTACAAAAAAAGATTCACAATAGATGTTCAGTATCTTCTTATACCTGATGGACACTTTTTGATGCATGAAGCATTTTAAAATGCATAACTGTCAAATATGATAGAATCCATATACCCACCAACAGCAGCCATTGCATTCACTATTTGGAGCACAACAGCCATTGTGAGATACAGTTAGGCATATGGTAGAATCCACATACCCACCAACAGCAGCCTTTGCATTCACTATTTAGAGCACAACAGCCATTCTGATATACAGTTAGGTACAGTTTTAAGGAAACTGTTACTTTTAATTCCCTTTTTCTGAAAAGTTATGAGAAACAATGGGTTGGAAGGCATTTTCTGAAACTTTACAGTGTTACTTGCCAAACTAAAATCTCTCTCCCACATTAATATTCACACAGAACAAGGTATCATCTCATACTATATTTCAGGTGAATCAGTGATTCATTAATATAAGAACTGGTGAAGAATCAGAAATCAGTCAACTAACAGTGCAATCATTTGGTTTTGTTTGGTTAACTTAGGCAAAACATTTTTTAATATTAAAAAATCTCATTCATATGTTCCTTTCAATTTCCAAGTGATATCAGTGGATTTCTGGTTAGTTAAAACCTTGGGTATATGAGTATCCCATCTACTTCAGTGCATTTGAAAGAAATCATCTGAATCTAACTGGCTACACTCCGTACTACTGTTAAGTGCCATTAACATCAATTTCCATACTTTCTTTTTTGTTTGTACATATACTGTTACTTGCATACAGGTTCATAATAGATTGAATACACACAGAACATATATCTTGATAAAATTCATTTTACCAAAAAGAACACTTCACAGTTTTGGAATTTTCCACACAAAATACTCATACAACTCACACACAATACGTAATTACACTCCAGACCACTAAAACCATTAAACAAAATACAATGTAAAGCACATCTAAAAGGCTAAGCTCTCTCAGATATCTCAATACTCCGACTTCAGCTCTGAACTAACAGCTGAGAAACTGATAACTTCTTATACAGTTTTTCACCCAGCTGCCAGGAAATCTCTAGTATTTCTCGAAATTATTGCAAAGCATATGAGGGCCAGATATGGTTACAATTACATAGATGATCAATTATAATACCCGTTGAATACAGGGTGTAGACCAAAATGTTACCAACTGATAGCAACTTTGGCCTATTTCTCGTCAAATTTGGCGGCAAATATTAGTCACCGATACCATCACCAGCTTGGCGGTATCTTGCCAATTTAGCGAGAGAGCCATTTACTCAAGCAAAATCACAATAACAACCTTGTATTTGGCGTACATATGTACTTGCCCCTGTATTCTTACTTTTCTGACAAAGCACCAACTTTTTTTTTTAAGATTTTCATGTTACATTATATAAAAAATACAATTTCACCTATATTTTCACCAAAATTATCTGCACAGGTACATGATTCGTAACAATACTGAACAACTAGCATTGCAATGTGTAGGATGGGGATTTGTTGCAAAAGAAGCTTTTCTGGTTGTGACCGTCACTGTTGATGCATACAGTACAGTAACTGACAGCATACTGATGAAGATCTGAAGTATATACTTTACCCTGGAGTGATGGGAGACAGGAAACGTTAACTTATTGAGATTCATTACAAACCACACCTCAACTACTTCAATGTTTATAAATTTTTTACATCTTTATGGATTTTTGGTTTGCTGTATTCACATTTACACTGCTCGACATTGAAAATCCGACACCAAGAAGGAGTGGACAGAAAGTGATGAAATTTGGAAAAAAGACAGAGACAGCAAGCAGCAATAAGTGATCTTTATTTCAAAATGATAGTCAGAATACAGAGCGAGAACAGAGAATCCTACATCCTAGAGCGCGTCGGCTCAGTAGGATGTAGGACCACCGCGGACAACGATGCATGAAGAAACACGTCTAGGCATAGAGTCAATAAGAGTGTGGATGATGTCCTGAGAGATGGCTCTCCATTCCCATTTGCCACAGTTCGTCTTCTGAACGAGGCAGGGGCAGAGTCTGCAAACGGTGTCCAATCACATCCCACACATGTTCGATTGGTGGTCAGGAGAGTACGGGAGCCAGGGAAGCATCTGCATATCCTTGCATAGCATGTTGGCTGATGCGAGCACTGTGTGGTCGGGCGTTATGCTGCTGAAAAATTGCATTAGGCAGCCCCTGAAGGTAGGGGATTGCCACCAGCCGCAGTACATTATCCAAGTATCGTTGGGTCGTCATAGGGCCGTGAATACGAACTAGAGGTGACCTGGAATCATAGGCCATAGCGCCCCAAACCATTATGCCATGTTGTCGCACGGTGGGGCGTTCCACAGTTATTGCCGGATTAGATCTGTTTCCATGTCGACGGCATGCAAATATGCGGCAACTGTCACTGAATAAACAGAAGTGTGACTCATCTGAGAACACAACATTTCGCCATTCTGTCATCCACATCGCTCCAGTCCGGCGCCATTCTAAACACTGGCGTCTATGCTGTGGGATCAATGGCAGTCTTCTTAACGGACACCGTGAATGTAGGCCACGTTCAACCAATTGACGGGAAATGGTTCTGGTCGACACGGGAACATCCAGGGTATCTTGCACATGCTGCAGAATCGTGGTACAAGTGACTTGCAGGACCGCCACAGCTTGTCAGCGGATGCGTCAATCCACGCGTGCTGATGTCACTCTGGCTGCACCTGCACTGCTCCTTCTTCCCACATTTCCTTGTTTCAACCATGTTCGCCATAGCTGATGCACCGTGCTCGCATCCATTTGGATATCACCTGCAATTTGACGTAAGGACCAACCCGCCCTTCTCAGTCCGATTACCATACCCCTCATAAAATTGTCTATCTGCTGGAAATGTCTTCGTTGACGGCGGCCTGGCATTCTCATTACAAAGACATTCCGGGACAAAAACCAACATTCTTCGCTAATTCGTCTGGCAGAAATAACGACATGAATATTGCCTGTTCTGCACATTCCTTCCCTTATATCTTACTCCGCGTGCGTCAAAACATCATTTGCATTTCAGTGACGTGCGTCTACTCTAAAATTTGCATAAATTTCTGACCACTCCTTCTTGGTGTTGCATTTTCAATGTCGAGCAGTGTATTATCATGAATACCATTATTTACATATATATATATATATTGATTATTTACTATAGTGATTTATTATTACGCGATTATTTATAATATCACAACATGAATATTATAAAAGTTAATTACAATGAAACACACAACAAAAATTTCCCAAGCATAAAAGCCAAAAAATAAGAAAGCATAATACTGTTACAATTTAATTATGTACATTTGTAATCACATACCTAGAATTGGGAATTCATAAAAATTAACTCATGCAATGAAATATTAAAATAAATAAAACCAAGTAAAACATTACACTTGGAAGACAAAATGGCAGCCAGTCAAGCATTTGGTCATCTGGTTCTAAATGGTCTAGCCCATCTATTAGGAGCAAAAGGGGTCTCCCACCAGATGATTTAGCTGCTTCAATAAGAACATCAGGAAACTGGTTTATTATATCCCTATATTAATAAAAGATAATGTAAATAATTGATCAAAGCATAACTAATTAAATTTTATTTCATAAAAATAACCTTACTCTGTAGATTTAGGCAGAAGAGATGGAAACTGCATTGTAATTGAACTCATAATGAAACGTAACATATACATTGTATCCGTGGATCTTGGAGACACACCAATAAAGAATTTTATGACTCTAAAGCAACTGAGGCTTTGAAGCATATTAACCTACAAAGTAAAATAAAAGGCAAGGGTTTATAAAAATTTTGCAACTTGCAAGATAATTTCTGACATATGAACTGTCAAGATAACTTTCAACAATGGATTTCAGAGAGTTCTGCAAGTACACTTTTTCTGTAATACCTGAAATCAAAAATATCAGTTAACAAAGTATTCATTATGCTTTAATAAATTAATGACTAAAATTTTCTAACGTGCTAGTTTCCTAGACATATCTGAGAAGTACTGTTGGAATGGATTTTCATCAGGTTTAAAGAAAAACTGCAATATAAAAATTCTTATCGGATCAAAGTTGCATAATAGTAAAACATTACCCATTTAACTATGGGCCCATTTTAAGAAAATCATATAGAAAGATAGTCTTGTACTTACAAAGCTCTTCTAACCCAGCAAAGCTGAAATTTTGCTTACTTTGAGAATGTAACTGGAAGGAAATGTCTAGAATGAGCAATTAAAGACCCATGCTTTTAAATATCCTACATAGTTTGTTCATATAAGCATATACATAGGCTATATTTAGGCTAATTCAAATATATTTATCAACAAAATTTAAAGTTTTTGTTTTGCTATTGACAAACCAAATTTGATAATTTTTGTTTTGCTATTGACAAACTAAAATTAAAAGTTTGAGAATTTCTCATTTAGATATTGCTATTAATCTTGCATTGTTCTTACCTGATTTTCTTCTAAAGAAACTATGCTATCACATATATGAAAAATTTGCTTCACAGAACAGTATCACATTGTGTGCCACAGACAGACACAAATTCATTTTTTGGGCATATATTTCAAACGACTCAAGAGAACATTTATGAAAGATGAAGTAATGTTATTATTTAGAATTTATTTATTACATATCACCCCTATAAATTAATGTGAATTTTACTGTTTCAGTGCTATGTAGTATGATATTAATTATTTATGGTAAAGAATAAAAGTGAAAAACAGGCTTTGCCTTAAACAAAGGATTAATCTTTTTCACAGCCAAATAATCATTCATCTCATGTTGGATTTACAGATACCAACCAATTATTCAGTGCTTCAACCAAAGCTTACAGGTGCCAAATAAATACTTAAACTTGTTGGAAACTTACAGTACATCTGGCAGATTAAAAAAATATAAAAATTCTCTACATTTAAACTAGGCTTTTGTTATCATACTAATGGTGAGATGCATAAAACCTTTAACTGAGTGCAAATGTAAAAAAAAATAGGAAAAACATTTTCCTTCCATATGAAAACTGTGAAGCATCCATACACACAAGCCAACAGGAATGCAGTTTAGTAATGTCGGTTTACTTATATGGCTATTTAAAAGCATATAAACTATTTGAAAATATATATATATGACGGCTTCTTTTAAAACTGCATTGAAAATACACAATATTTTTTTATTTTGATTTTATATCACACTGTGGATAGTATATGACAGAACTGTAATGTAAGTCTATCAAAACTAATTTTACTTATTAAGTGATAAAAAACACACAATAGGCAACGATATAAAAACTGAATACTCAGCTCATTATATTATGCTTTAAAAAGCAATGACATGGTCAGTTACTAAAATAATTGCATGCTTATTGAAACTGCTACAATTAGAATGATGTGTGGAATGCTTTTATTCACAGTTTAACTGTGCAAACAATGATTTATTCTGAAAAGTGATCCTGAAGACATGTACTTATTTTGAAGACACATAACTAAAAATTGCGCATAGAACTTACAACAAATGCAGTTTTTCCACCTCCTGGTGGTCCAGTTATAACAAATATTCCACCTTCTTTCTTGATCATTTTCAAAAGATTATCCATTTGCAAATTCTTCATCCCCACGAGATAGTTACAAGAATCTAATAACTCAGACTGATACAATTCTTCTTCATTGACAATATTTGAATATGTTTCCTTTGAAAAGAAAAATATTTTGTACAGCATTGATGATATATAAAAGATTAAAAGCACGGAAGTAAACAATATAGAAATAGAATATAAGTTGCTTAAAAGAGCATATCATTTCTGGGAAATTAAAAATACATATAAGGATTTGTTTTAATGAATAATTACAAATAAATTTCATGTTATGCTTTATATTCATACTTCTTTATAATTCTGAGTAATAGCATTCCATAAATCTTCAAGGACTTTATACCCAAACTGATCCAACCCACCTAAAATAGGCTTGTCATTATGTACACCTGCCCACTGAGCTGGATACCTGTAATTCAAAAAGCAATAAAACTAATCAAAGCATTTTGTATAAAATTTATAACTTGCAATATTTCATTAACATGCTATCACTGCTATTAAAGTTATATAAGATGAATGAAAGAAATAAAAAGTGAGAGACTACAGTTAAAATGAAGACTTATTAAAAAAGAAATGCACCAAAAACATGGGACTAGCATATGCTACACTTCAGTGACAGGACATATATCGACAGTAATCTGCTAGTTTACATCAGTGTCTGAATACATTATAATCTTGCTCCATTTGCTATAGTTTTGACAAGTCTCTGTTCAATTATAATGTACACAGTTTTGCCAGAGATTTTTCAGCTAGTGTAGCAAACGAAGGAAAAAAATCACAAAAAGCAGCATGTAAGGTCACAGACAACATTTTTGTTACATCATAAGTTTGTAAGCTCACATGATCTCTGATGCCATCACAAATTCAGTCTCAGAATATTGCATAGGTGGTGGTTTTCCACAGGAGCAAGTGCTGCTTGATGTGATCACAAATGTTCATGGCTATTTTAATAATACAGGACAATGTCCATAATCCGGAATGATCTATAATCCGGACCTCAAAGCCAAAATCTTTTTTTATTTATATGCTTTACGCATGCACGTTTAATGCGCGTTTCTGAAGTGAAGCTTCCAATTCCGAAGAAAGTGACAGAGAGGTTATTGAAAATGAAAAAATTTTGATTGACAAGTTTTCATGTTTATGACCGTTTGCTTATCATTAAATTGCCATTTAATTGCCAAGTAGAAAGTCGCATGTGACTCAGATGTTATTCGTCTTCGGGCGAGATGTGTATGCACCACTTATTTTACTTACTAATCAGCCACTGGCACTATTTAAACTGACTGGATTAAGATGCAGTCAAGCCCTGCTTGTGATAGAAAAAGATCTGATCTGATCTGATTGACAAGTTAGTTGGTATTCTCGACACAGCAATTACAGGACTTGAACAGTGGAACTTTGTAACTGAACAAGAAATTATGTCTGTTTATAGAATGAAAGAGAAAGAATTAGCACAAAAAACGAAGCAACTTAAACAACTTACATTGAAAGAAATGTTTAATAAAGTAAACAAATAAATATTAAGCTTCTTTTTTTGTAAATTTTGATACCCTTTAGATCATAATCGCTCTTTATTTCGTAAATTACGGTTTCATATTTTTAATTGTACAATTTATGCATGCCATCTTACCAGTTTCAAATTGATGATATATAATCTAGAGAAACCCCTAATACGGAATCGTCGAAGTCCCGACGAGTCCGGATTATGGACTTTGTACTGTATTAAGCAAATGATGAAAATATATCCTTCAAAATAGCAATGGAATTTAGCTAAATTAATAAAAATGTAATTAGAAACATAAAAATAGGTGCAAAATTTCACAACCTTTTATTTAGAAATATTCAAAAGCTTGTTTATGAACTGTTCCCAATGCCTTTAATGCAAGAGTTCATTTATGAATTGTTAATGAAAGGAATAGCATTCTTCAGCCCATTTTCCTATTTCAAAAGCTATTCATGAAAAATTACTCACATTATCCGTACTTTGAATTATACCTATATCCTACTGGTAATCTGTTTACTCTTTCGAAGCATTAAGAAGTTTTTCTCTATACAATTATTATCTGTTATATCAGACATTGATTTTAAATAAACGAGTTTCAGGTTCAAATGTTATGTCTCATTCTATTATCACAATGAAACCACTTTAAGCCTTTTCACAAAACTATATCTTATTCAAACATAATTCTTTGAAACAAAAGTTGTTGTGGCCAGGTACACCACTGAAACTAAAGGAAGGTTTCTCATAAATCCAAGAGACAATAAATTTAACTGTATGATTTAGTGTTTAAGTGATGTACTTGGCTACATTCATTTCTAACATCCTCTCATTGTAAAGTGGGAACTTTAAAAACATAAAGGGAAAAAATTAAATTCTTAAATTTAAATTAAAACCTACAAAAGTCTTTTAGTTCTTCTAACCCAAGTCTTCCCTTTGGGCTATTATTCTACCAAAATGAGAGGTAAGTGGTTCCTCAATAACAGTTTGTTCTGTAGAATCGATTTAAACAGTTTCTGTAGAATCGATTTAAACAGTTTCTGTAGAGTGCTTAAAATTTTCATCTTCTGGCTCTGCTATCTCAGATATTTGGCCTGATTCACACTGAATTTTGAGTGGATATATTCTCTGCATGGGTCTATGTAAGTAAGTATACACTAACTGTTTTCAGTCAAACTAAACAAATTTTATTATCTCGTCCAGGAAAAATTCCATCATTTTCTTATCGGACACTCTAAATCTTTTTTGTTATCACTGATACCTTAACAATTTCTCCAACTTTAACAGTTCTTTTGTTAGTGGTTACAGTAATCCGAGACATTAAACTTTTATAATGCTTTATCACTCTAAGCGATTGGATATAATGTTTTCACTAAATTGATAGTTTCAATTTGATCCAAATTGGTTATTTCATTTGAAGGAATGCTCTGTAAAAACATGGAAGGTTTAGAACATTTAACTCATTGGCTAATCGGCAAGAAAGTTAAGGGTCGATTATTCATCACTGATTCACATTCGTAAAGTAAGATGTTCTTCATAACTATAAAAAGTGCATGATTTCTTACCAAACGTGCAGGCTTTTCTTTAACAAATCTTTTGAAATCCTGATTAAAGACTCCCAAAATCCACCCCACCAGAGGATTGAAATTACACTGAATGCTATATAAATTACCTTGCTTTGGAATTTCATCCCAGTCCATTTGTTTTAGTTGTATATACTGCAGCAAAATTTGTTTCATTATCTGAATAAATAACGGATATCCCCATTCTAGAAATGAAATGATGCAGGGCTTTCATAAAGGCACTAACACTCAGAGATTGTATAAGCACAAGATGCACAGCTCTGTACACTGCATGTGTAAAAATAATGGGAAGGCGTTTCTCTTTAGATTTAGGCTAGATGAAATATAGGGAGGGACTTAGAAAGAATTAGAAATTTTTGTTCGATCTTTTAGAAGAGGAAGGAAGGTAACACTTAAAGCCTTTGTTTTAATTCTTCCACAAGCCATACATCTTTGGATAACAGCTCCTACAGTTTTCTTTCATCTTAAAATCCATACCCTTTTTTCTGAGTACAGTGAGAAAAGTTAACATTTCTAGCATGCTTATGATGTTGATGTTTATGCTCTATTAGCCATTCAAGTACATATGTGACTCTTCATCAGTTACCTTAGATTCTATTCAAAGAATCCCATTATCATCCATGTATACTTGAAGCGTTTTCAGTGCATATTTATATTTCTCTTCAGTAAAAATTTCTTGAATTTTTTCAAAAGTAGCCTTTCAATTTCAGAAAATTTGTAATATGTAGTATAAGGAATCTTTGGTCCATCATTATTCCCTTAACTAAATACAGTTTTTATAATCTATTTTGACCTTATCTTGCAACTTTATTTTTTATTTAGAAACTTTTCCTCAATTAAAAAAAAATACTATATTTTGATTATGTTAACAAGATTGTTAATCACAATAAGCGATTATTTTCCATGCTATCTGAATGATAACATTAACCATGATCATATTAAGCATAGTAATCTGTAATTGAATAACTGAACATTATATTATGCATTAGTTTGTCTTAAAACCAGCTTGCTAATTTTCCCTTATTTAAATCTCCATATCATCTTTTAACTAATGCTTAATTAACTGAAGTGTTTGTTTTTCAGATAATTTATTCATTTCCATTGTTATGTGCTTTCTCATACTTGGACTGCTAACATTGTGGCACTAAATCTTTTGAGTTGATGGTTTAGTTTTTTTTATTCAATTTTTCTTGCTTTATGTTTATTCTTAAAGCTTTTCAGTTACTATTTCATTTTGAAAGTTCAACATATTTCACTTCATCAGATTCTGATTGCTAATAAGAGTCTACTTTTGTCCACTGCTAAATTTGCTTGTCCAGCAATTTAGAAATCTGGTGTTGCTTTGATTTTTAAGTCTTCAAGCGTTTAATTCTTAGCAATACTATACATGAGAATGAATACCAATTATATGGCATGCAAACCACAAACAATTAGGAGATCATTTTGGAACTGGGGCTCATTTTGGAACTGCGGGTTCTAAGTTTGAAACAAAACTGACAGAGTAATAAAATCACCAATATTAAGGTGTTAACATTGTTTTACACATGTTTTGCAATACTTTTTCTTTTACTACAATTATTTTTATGGGCTTGGCTCACCTACCAATAAAGCAATGCAATCTGTGGTCATATGACTTCAAAGAAAAATTTTAAAATTATCCTTTATGGTAAAGAGAGGCAGCTCAAGTACAAATTTCAAATTCGTTTCACTTTAATATTTGAAATTATTTATATCATTATTTTGTCTTAAATATATATTATCTTTTCCCTCCCACTTTTAAAGCACAGAGATTTTTAAAGCTGAAATGATTAGAATGTAAAAGAGAAAAATTACTAATGTACGTACTGCATAAACAATTAGAGTGATAATTTGAGCTGTACACTATATTGTTGTACAGAATTTTCATAAGGAAAAGACTATAAAGAATGAAGTCTTGGAATTTTGTAGATAGAATCAAACAGTTATTTCAACTAAGAACCAACACATTTTTTCTTAGTTTTTAAAATTCTAACTTTCTTAAGACTACATGCATATATATATGTGTGTGTGTGTGTGTGTGTGTGTGTGTATAAATAGAAATAAATTTTTAAAAGGAAAATTTATAATCCTTCCAAGAATTTTCGCACATTATGCCACTGGAAATTTATCAGTTAATATATAAAGAAAGAAATTCAAAACCAATTTTTCACAAAGTACCAGAAATTGAAATTCATAAGAAATAAATTTCAAAAAAATCTTATACATGTACAAATGAAAAACTTAAAAAATGTTAAAACTCAAATTCTTCACACAAGTAAAACTCAAATTCAAAAAATTAATGAACAAAGG